GATGAAATAAATGAAAAAAAAATTTACCTTTTTCTTTAACATGGGTTTTCTAGGGAAAAAAATTTCAAATACATTAAAATAGAGGTATTTCCCATTTAATCTGTTCTTGTCTTTTAGCATGATCTATTGGCACCCTGTTCCATTTCTGGGTCATTCTACTATAGGACTGTTTCAAATAGCTTAAATTAGTTACAGATTTATAAACAATTACATATTTATGTAAGATGAGGCATTTTTCTTAATATGCATTTAATGAGACAGAATTTGAACTGGCTACGGATTTGGATTTTGTTCATTTTTATGGTGTTGCTACCCATTTATTTTATGGGCTCTGGGGAGTGGATGCTAAAATTGAGAGCTTGTAAGAGGTTATAAAAGAAAAGAACAGACATATTTTTCATGGCCATTTGAATAGCTAGATTGAAGGAAAAAAAAAGAATGCTTTTTATTCACATCTTTGGCAATTGTTTTTCCTCAGTGCTGGACTCGGACACGGGGACCTGTATTTTTTTCTCATGGGCTTTTCTCTGTAGCACCTCACCAGTGCAGGTGAGAACATCTTTATCTGCAGCCCAAGGAGTCAGGGGCTGCCGCTATCCCCTCCTTAGGGACTGGGCCATGCAAAGGGGAGGCTGTGAACACCCAGGGGCCCGAGCAGAAAGCCCCAAGACCCCAGTCATGGGGCCTCTCCATATATTTAAAGCATCGTTCCTGCTACCGTCTGTCAAAGCTGCAGGTACCTGGCACTACTGAAAATCAGATTTTCAGGTCTTCAGCAGGCAGCCAGAGTGCAAAGAAAACACATTTATGGGCCACCTGCGGTCAAACACCATGGAGGTCCAGACACAGATTTGCACAAACCAGTTCCTCGTGACCGGGATGGTCTGAGTACCCAGCAAGACAAAAGCTCAAACTCTTTCTGTGTGGTTGATTGCACATCTCACATGCATCACTTCCAGCCCCTGGTTTTATAAAAAAGGTCTTGAAAGGAGAGGAAACAGCTGGCGAATAATACATTGTGTACCCTCCCGGTTGTACTGCAGCCTCTCAGCTTGTCTGCAGGCAGGGTTATCTGTACCACCACGAGCCATTCCCCCAACACTGCTGGAAACAAAGGCTCCTTTTCTGCAGCTGTTTATCCAAGGGACATAGAGAGAGCTGCAGGAGGAGCTGGGGAAATAGCAGTGGTATGAGATCCCACCCAGTGTGATCCCTCCTCAGGGAACAGAGGCATCCCTGGGCAAGGAGGGCTTGGGACTCATAACCACATTCCAAGTTTATCTGCCAGCTCTGTTCCTCTCACTACCAGGTCTTCTTCCAGCTTATAATGACCCATCTTCCTGTATCAGAGACTGCTTGTGAATTTGATAACAGACCTGAAGTTATGAAGATTAAAGACTTATGACAATTAAAGAAACAACAATAAGACAGGAAGAAACACCCTCAAGTTGTGCCAGGGAAGGTTTAGATTACATATGAGGAACAATTGCTTCACTGAAAGGGTGATCAGGCATTGAAACAGGCTGCGCAGAGAAGTGGTGGAGTCACTGTCCCTAAAGGTATTAAAAAGATGTGTAGATGTGGCTCCTAGGGACACGGTTTAGTGGTGGACTTGGCAGTGCTGGGTTGATGATCTTAAAGGTCTTAAAGATCTTTTTCCAACCTAAACAACTCTATGATTTTAAGCAAATGAGCACAGTGGGGGGGAAAAAAGGCTCCAGGAACATTTTGAAGGGTAAAGAGTGGGGCTAAGCATTGCAGGATGTAAAGGAGACAAGGACAGACTCTCGGCAGGAGCCAGAGCTGTGCTGAAAAGTTGAGCAGAAGTTGAGCATGCCCCTAGAGAATGTCACACTGCCCTGGTACCTACCAGCACCCTCTACCTGGAGTTGTGTAGCACAGACTAGCCCTGGGGGATGTGGCAAAAAGTGCACTAGCTCCAGGAAATGTATTTTGGGGAAACCCTCCAAGCAGGAATGAGCCATTCCCCAGGACAGGGCTGCCAGGCAGGGCAACCATGCTACTTATCTTGTGCTGCGGACCGCAGCCATCATCTTGCTTCCAGCTCACCCTGAACTGGTAGAAAGTTCTGATACTGCACCTCCCAGCCCATAACTCACACATCTTTTAGTCCAGTGACACCCTACTATATTTTTGCCATCACATGCAGTGCTGCAGATGTTGCCAGAGTCTCTCTTGGGGAATGTTTCTCCAGTATATCTTTAGATGTAATTAAAGAAAAGGGCTCCTAACAGCTAGCTGCCCCAATTAGCCTGCAGCGCGGATGGAGACCAGGGAGAGGTTTGCAAGCGGTTTTTACACAGTTGCAGTAAAAAGCTGTTTCCTCTGACAGCCAAGCAGCTTCCTGTGGGAGCGAGCCAGGCAAAGCCACAACGCTGTGCAGAGGGTCACAGGCTCTGTATCCAGGCATGACTGCTCCGGGCAGGGGGTGAGGGGAGGTGGGCAGGCAGCCTCACAGCGCTCTCTGAGCCCGACCCCCCGAAAAAGGACGGGGGAACAGCCCCCAGCGCCAGCCAATGCTGCTCTTTGTGAGCTGCACAGATGCAACGGGAGGGAGAATGTTGGTTGAAATCCTCACAGACTTTATGCTAATTCACCAAAGAGCATTTTAGACCGTACACGGACACTTAATCGAGTGGGAGAGACAGCAGCGAACACGACATTTAATTATGGGAAAGAAAAACGAAGTCTTTTACCCTGCATTTGGCATTCTCCCAACACACAGAGTTAATTGTTAGGAGGGTATATTAGAAGGCAATGAAGGAGAAGATTGAAAACCCTGATTATGCCGAGGTCCTGAAAATGCTGAATTTATTGAATTTCACATGAGAAAACACAGTCTGTGCTAAGCTGAGGGCTGTGCCAGCAGCCAGCTAAAGCTCAGGAGGTCTGTATGTGCATGTAAGAGGGGAACAAAGCTTTATGAACAAAGCTTTACTGCTTTATGAGCCTCTGCCAACTACTGGTCAAGCCCCACTGTGTCCCTAAAATGGAGCAGGTCAATACATGCTCGGGTAGATGCCCTTGGTGTAGGTGATGCACAAGGTGGGCAGCAGACCTTGGGGTAGGTGATGAACGCAGTGAGCACACTTTGGTGTAGATGATGAACAAGGCCAGCACATTTCTCAGGAGCTCAATTTTCCTTTAGAAAAGGATCTAACCAGGTAAAGTTAGAAAGGGCATTTCATCTGTGACCTCTGTGTAGTACATTTACCTACAATTGCCTAAATTAGGTTAGAGTCTGCAGCAACAGAAAGCCCAAATGCTTTGGTAAGTACTGGCACAGATGCCTTTAAGAGAACAAGAGCTGTGGGGCTGAATCGGGTGAAGGTCCATCCATCCTGGGTGCACCCAGAGGAGGGGGTACTACAAGAACAGAGAATCAATAAAAATGTTTCCCCCAAAACTCCCACTACCTCCAACACTTTCATTCTTAGGCGCATCCTTGGGCTGTAGTGTTGCCTCAGTATTCCTCAGCAAGTTCCTCCATTAATTTTTTCAGTTGTCCCTTGAACCGTTTAAACTTTTAGCCCCCTTTTTCTTCTGTCTTATCATGGCTGAGGGGCAAAACTGCTGTCTGGTGCTGACCCGTGGATGTATTTGTTATACCAATACCTGTGGCCTAACACATCTCCCTGGGAAACTCCCCAGGTTGGGCCTCACAAAGAAGTGCCAATAATTGCCAATTCCTCCATGCCATTAACAACCCCATCTGCGTCTACTGAAAGTCAGTAGAATTTTCTCTGAATCTTAGCAGAGCAAGATGCCTTCTTTTTTCCCATTTTTTTTAACATGAAAATCCACATGGATAAATGAGCTCCAGCTCGCGGGGCACCTGCAGTAGCTGTCACTGTGCTGCAGGGGGGAACCTTCGGCTGCCGATACATTCGCAGCTGCTGCAAGTTGGAACAGGCACGGCAAGTCAACTTTGGCCGGAACGTGGGTGGGAAGAGCCCTGGTGATTTGTACTGTGGTCCCAATTTAATTACAACAAGCTTCTTGTTTTTTCTAGTTTTAAATAGCTTAGCGAGAAGAGCCGTAAAGATAAAAATCATTAAAAAAAAAAAATACCGAAACAATCTGACATTTGGGGTAAGGCAGCAAAAACTGTTGGTTTGCGTGTCAGAGCATGTGATTTTTGTGCCTGACCATTGTCACTGGAAAACCTGAATCTGCCTCATGGAAACAGAAGCAGGCTGTTGCTACAGAAGGGGTAGTCCTGCAGAAAATGCTATTTTCTAGCTCCTAGTGGAGTGCAGTAACCTGGAAGGAACCCAAAATGTTTATGTAACAGAGTGACACACCCCTCACACCGGCAGCCAGGTAGGTGTCTCAGTTCAGAGAGCACCTGGCACACACTGAGCTCTGAAGTGAACCTCAGCAGCTCCGACGGGAGTTAAGCTCAGTGTTGAGCCAGCCCCAGGCTGCTGCTCTGGGTGGCTGTTGCAGGCCACACGTCCCTCAGGGCCAGCCTGAGGACACCCACTTCCTGGGATGAGGACCTGAGACAGGACAGCACAACACCGAGCATCGATTCGCTGATGGAGATCTCAGGGGAAACTGCTGAGCCAAGAAAAACAAATTGACAGCAGCTCCATCCTCAGCAGCCCAGCGCTCTTCCGTTTTTTGGCTTAGATTTATCAGGTGCCTGACCCAGCTTGTGCTGAGCAGTGAGCACAAGCCAGCCGTGTTTATCAGGCTGCCGGTGGGCAGGAAGGAGCTCTGTGCCTGTGCCAGCCCACAGCCCGAGGGCAGAGCAGGAGAGGTGGTACCTAGGAGCTCTGGTTCAGCCCCACAGCTCTGCCTGCCTCATGCTGGCAGCCTCCGCCCCTCGTGATACAGCTTTTAGGTAAATAACAGTTTCGACCGTTTTTTTTTAATGAGACAAGAATAAATCTCTCAATTAAAATGTCCATTATGCTGTTTAAAATTTTATTTAAAAATTCCCACTGTTTTTTTGACTACTTATCCCCCTCTCTGGAATTTTTTTGGTGAAACAATTTTCCACTTTAAGCCCTACAAACATTGTCTTGGGAGGCCCTCCTTGAGGAAGGGTCTGCCTGATCATTTGCATGAGTGTTTATCCCCGAGGCTGTTTCCAGCACTGCTGGGTAGTGCTCCAGGAGACCTGGCAACAACTCACCCCCAAGCTCTGGATGCCCTCAGTCACATCGGGTTTTCAAGAACCACGTCAGTGCGGGACGGCGCACCAGGCACACGATGTCCTGCCCGGGTCAGCAGGAGTAACATGTGAGCCCACACCTCTGGGCAGGTCATATAAGTGGAAATGAAGGTTAGAAAAGAGCAGAATCCAGAGAGCAGTTAAACATGGGTGAGCAGATTCCTCCTTTTTCAAGGACTGAGGTGAATTTTTTGCCTTTAGTTTGCAGCAAACACCACACTTCAGATCTCTGTTGCTGTCAATGCAAGTGTCCTCAGAGAAATCCAGGAAGACCTCTGCGTGTAAGGAAGGAGAGGTCTCAAGACAGCATGGGCTCATCAGTGGAAAGACAGTGAGACAAAGCCAGGCCTCACTAAAAAAGAAAAGGAAAAATAAAATAATTTTTCCTTAAAAAAAAATCTCAGAAAAAAGGCACCCTAATTACAATACTTAAAATGTTCAAGCTGAAGATTGAAAGACTGGCCTCCAGAAGGACATTTTCCTGTTCCCTGTACCACAAGCAGAGCGTGATTTCAGTTCATCAGTGGCTGAGCCACTGCATGATAAAACTCGCTGATGAACAAGCTACTTTAAAAGCAATGGAGCTTTGTCCTCTTAGTGGCTCAGCTCCTGCAGTGTCTCTAAAATGTTTGTTTATAAGTGGGAAATGACTAAACGGCCTGTACAGAAACAAGGGCAGTTGAGGCTCCAGCTTTGGGAAGTTTCCCATGGCGTCAGGCAGACGGGGCTGGGGAACCCTCATGAGAGCATGGGCTGGAGGCAGCAGGGGATGCAGCTCCATCCTCACCGCTGCAGGTGACCCAAAGACTTCAGCTTCTGACATCTGCTTCAGCCCACTGGAGCCCTGAGAGCAAGCCTGAATGTTCCATCCCACTGCTCTGACCTCGCCTCACCTCTCCCTACACCACCATCCACACACTCCTGCTAAAAAAACCCTAGCCCTCAGACATGCTTAGTCTCTCAGAGCACAAACCAAGCATCAGAGAACCATTCCCTTTTTCCCTAGACAACAAAAGCTGGAAGTGGCAGCACCAAGAAGGCTTACCTTGCCTCTACATCTCCACAAGCTGTCAACTCCGAAACCTAATGATGGTGCTAACACAGCAGCTATCTTTGGCTTGCTTCCAGGGACCAGTGCAGTGGGCTACCAACTGCAGTCGGCTTGTGCCACCATCCTGCACTCCTTCCACAAAGCCCCAGCCCTCCAGAGGACACAGTCAGCTTATCCCAAATGCTTGCCATGGCATAGCCACTACAGTGTGCCAGAGACTGAAAACCTGTAGGGTCACCTCTGTTGTAGGACAAACTAAAACTCACACAGCACAACCTTGTCTTACTCACTAAGAACAGCCCAGACATTGGGAACAACTGATCAGCACCCTCTGGGAGACCATGGATGCCAGCCGTAACTTAAGAAAAGCTGCTTTTATTCTACACAAGCAAGCAAAGACCTTGAACTCTTATCAGGCACTTATCACCAAGACAACCAAGAAAGGTGCTTGAACCCTGGCCAGTATATTTTTCTTTCTGCTTCACAGAACACATGAATTGCAAGGGCAGGCTGCCTCCAGGAGCACTTGAGCCTCGGAGACAGCAGTAAGATTTCCAGGGTAAACTGATACAAAATCTTACATTTCCTGTGGGTTTAACCCAGACACAAGTCTAAGGGATCTCAAATGCTGACATCACTTAAGAAACCAAACCAAACAAAACCCAACCCAACCCAACTCAATGGCATTACCTTTCCCAAGGCTTACATTCCTCTAGCACACCGATATATTAGCCCCAACCCACTTTCCTCACTAGTTTAAGCTGAAACACCTGGCTGTAAACTGGGACACAGGATTCTCCTATCCCTGATTTTGGGGCAGAAGAGTGGGGCTAAAGGCTGGCAGCAACAGAGAAGGGATGTGAAGAGGGGAGCCTGAGTATTTTGTCTGTCTCCTGCAATGCTCCTTATCATGAGTGAAAGTCCCACTTGCATGGTTGGGTGTTTCAGGAGATGGTGCTGTACCCATCTCCGAGTGAGCTGCCACACATCAGCACTCCCAAAGCCACCAAACAACCCTCACCCGAGAGGGACCACGTTGGTGTGTGTGGGGTACACAGGTGGGCTGGAGGGCCAGCACAGGCACCAGCTCTGCCCAGACCTGCAGCTCTGCAAAAAACTCTGAAGGAGCCCAAAACCTTGTCCAAGTGTGCTTCACACTTTTCTGCAATAAAAAACCTCCAAACACACTGTTCAGGTCAGTGGTGGCTGCTCCACTGTGGGCAGCCCTGCTGCTGAGATGGAAGGTGATGGTGAGCCCAGTGAGCCTGTCCTGGTCCCAGTATCCAAGCAGGGCTACAGGAGAGGTCCAGGGAGCAGAGCCAAAGGGGAGGAGATCACTGGGGCCCCTGCACAGCTCAGGTAGGGGCAGGGAGCAAGCCAACCTTTGTCCTGTGCTTAGCAGCTGGGCTTGGGTGTTTCTCAGCTTCACTATTTACACGTGACTTATTTTTGTCATGTATCTCATCTCCCCATTACCTTACATCATCTTTTTAGACCGTTTTTATTTCTGATTTCTGATCTGGAGGCATCAAAAAACACTGGCAACACCTTGGAAACATCATTACTCCCATTTCCCTAAATTGCATGTGGAGGAGCAGAGGAAAATGCTGTCAAGGGGAGCTGCACCCTAATGCCCCAGCCACTTAATAAGCCATGAGTAGACATACTAATAGACAAATCTGATCAGGCAATTACAATTGCAAAAGCAATGCTTCCAAATAGAAATTTGCATAAAGTGATGCTAGTGCTGAATTCAGCAGGTAAAAGGCATTGCTATCCTGATTCTGAGCACCTTCATATGCACATAATTATCTATCACCTCCATGCAGGGGATAGCTACTGATTTAGAAAAAGAAAAAGCAAACGGAAAGACCCTACTGTGAACTCGCTATGGTTTAACCTCATGATTGTACTTGGATTTGAAAACTTAATTAGAAAATAATTACAGAGAAACCGGAAATATTACAGAGGCCTCATCACCAGACCCGGGAGGTTTTCTTGGCAGCAGAGCAGCAGCAGGCAGCGCTAGAAGACTTCTGACTACTTTTTTTACAAAGCAAAAGGGAAAGACAGACTCTTTCTAAACACCAGTTCGCATCAAAAAGGCTTTTGACTGATAATCCAATCCCTTTTTTGACAGAAACAAGGCAGGTTTCCTGTTGGGATGTAGGCCACCAAGCTATGGAGGCTGCAGTCGCTGTTAAACTGCTGCACCGCAGCCGCTTCCCACTGAAGGAAGCTCACGGCAGAGCTGCCCTCTTTCTTCATCCCTGTTTGTTATTTCAACAGCCCCAGCGGCAGCCAAGAGCAGTGAGAATGAACAAATGGGAATAAAAATAAGTCCTCTAAGACACGCAAAGCATTAGCCAATTCTTTTTTTAATCCTTCTGCTTGGCCTTATATCTATTGTGTTTTATGATTCAAACGGTGGAGAAGTTTATACAGTAAAGACAGATCAAATCAACCCTTGGGTGAGCATTATACTGTATGTACTGGCCTCTAAACAAAAGTGAGGTGGCTGCTTTTCTTTGTCTTAGACAGGAGTTTGTCCTGTAACAAGCTACGAGGTCAGAACAGTTCCATGCTGAACAACAGGATCTGAGCAGCCACACACGCCACCAGAATTAAATATACACTAATCACAGGTGAACTCAAATCTTTTAGGCCCAATGGTTGAATAGATAATTCCTGAGTCGCAGAGCCCTGCTCACATCCCAGCTATAAATGCCTTGGGGAAAAAAAAGGTAATGCTCCCCGTGGCAACCCAAGCATTTACACAGTGAAGCTACTGCAGCACAAAAATATCTCTCTGCTTTGCTCCAAAGAGGCTCCATCCCCCCAGATCTTATCTAGAGAAGGGGATCTACATAGCTCTGACGAGTACAGCCTGCTCCAGAAACCAGAAGCCTGTGAATGTACTGCTCACACTATGAACCTACACATCCCTCGGCTTTATGCAGAGCCAATTTGGCATTCCCAGCAGCATCCCTTGGAATTAGGGTGCCACTGCATCAGCAGTCCTGAGGCCCTGCAGCCTGAAGAACCACAGGTTTCATTCAGGCCAATTATAGCACATTATAAATAGAGGATCCTGCTTGTTTTGGAACCGACACATAGCGAGCGGCAGGTTCTGCTTCTGCAAATAGCCTGGGAGCTGGTAAGGACAGGCTCACGTCAGCTGGCCTGAGAAGTGCTGGGGTTAAAATGACACCAACAGCCAGGAGGTGTCCCCAGCCTGGCCAGAAACTGTAGTGGATAAGCCTGGGTGGATAAGATCAGTGGGGTCAGGCTCTGCGCAAAGCCTTTGTCCTACTTATCTGTGGGAAAACTGAGCTTTCATCCTGCACCTCCCTCAAGTCTTTTAAGTTAGCAAACTTTAATAATCACAGGTACACTTTTATGGATGAGCAGATGATTTTGTGATGATTTTGTAATGATTTTAAGATGTACAGTTCAAAAGCAGGCAACTCATTGTTTCTTATGGAGCCAGAGGGCAACAAATTCTCACTGAATTCAATCAGGCACCTGCTCAGAGCAATTTCCACTGGGGAAGGCAACCCATTCTCTAACTGTAAACCACTGCATCATTTTTCTAACCTTTGAATATTATTGATTTTTTTTTTTCAGGTGCAGAGAGAGAAATGCCAAGTGTGATGTCAGCAGGCAGCATTACATGGCACAATTGCTCTTTCCAAAATCTGAATGCCAGCTGAAGCAGGACTGGATATTGCATGATAAGAGACAAGCTGTGCTGTGCATATTTGGGGCAATGGAGGCAAGGGTTTGACCCCCTGAGCCCTTGGGGTTTGCTCTGCCAAGGCCAGGTTGCTATATCATTATGATAAGGGTAATCTTGTTAGGCAAACACATCACACAAATAGTCATTCCTGATTGCAGACCTTGTCTAGGCAAATCTAACCCTGAGTTAAAAATGTGCTAAATGTGCAGTCCTGTGACATAGTACACCAGGGGCTGAGAGGGATACATGGGGGCTTCTGTGCCCCAGGACCCCCATGCAGTCACTCTCTGAGGCTTGGGCTAATTCCTGGAAGTGTCTAAAAATTGCAACAGAATAAGTTCCCTCTCTTTCCCCTTCACTTCTTGTGTACAAGAGGACAGATGACTCTTATGTCAGGCTGTTTTGCTTCTATATTTATGTCCTGCCTGAGGCTCACAATGTTCAGCTCAGATGCAATCCAGTCTGGTTGTATTAATACATCTGGGAAAATATTTTTAACAACCAACATCAAGCTGAAGGCCAAAATCCTTCACAGGCGCCAGGAGCTCTCTGACCCCTCTCGAACACTTGCTTACGAAACAGAAAGGCTCCCAAAAGGGTACTTTTCAGTCTTTTAAGGGACAACTACACATTTCAGCTTCCCTCTGCAACATGAGGGATGAAATTTAATCTCTGCTGCAGCTCTGGGGGTTTCCCCAAGTTTCCAAAAGGATGAACGTGGCTCTTTTATTACAGGTGTCAAAATCAAGGCTTAATGAGGGGTGGCCCACGAACCCAGTCAAAGTGAAGAGGACACTGATGACAGCCTGTGAGCATCCCTGAGGGCTTGTGAGACAGCTGCAGCTAAAAGATCTCATCACCTTGCTGTCCGTCTCACTTCTGCAAAACCACTTTTCTCTATTGAGGAACCAGAATAAAAAATAAGTTTCAAAGCCTTAAAAACTGGGTTGTCCCATCAAGTGGACAATGACAGCCTCAAAAAATCCGTGACACCAACTGAGCCGCTTATTCAGCCTCCCATTAGCTGGGACTGATGTTTGGCAGTGGTCAACCCTCACACCATATACTTCCTCCAGAGCTGGTCGAGACATTTCCTTTCCAAAACAAAGTGTATCAGAGCATCACTTGGGCTCCCAAGAATTACAAATGGGTAAGGTTGGAAGGGACCAGTGGAGGTCATCTAGTCCTGCTCAAGCAGAGTCTCCTGGAACACATTACTCAGGATTGTGTCCAAACAGCTTTTAATATCTCCAGGGAAGGAGACTCCTTAACCTCTCTGGGCAACCTGTTCCAGTGCTCAGCCACCAAATATCATTTGGGATGCATATTTTTGGAATTCACTCAGCAGCAGCCAGGAAACAAAAGTAACAAGACTTGCTCACTTTGTTGTTTCCAAAGCAGATCTTTTTTCATGCCATGGGTCAGGATGGAGCTGACCCTATAATGCAGCAGAGAAAGCAAAGCAGCTGAAGTTATGGGCAACTCAGGCTCAGTGTGAAATGGTGATTCATACAAAGTCAAGCAAGTAGAGAGTGACTGTAATACAAATGAAGACTGAGGAGGAAGAAGAAGTGGGTGCTGAGTAAGGCAGTGTGGTGGTGAGTGGTGAGAACAGGGCGAGATTCAAGGCCACGACTCCTCCCCTGGATGGAGTGATGTTGTCTGGTGGTTCCAGCACAGGAGCCAGGAGCAATGCCCCAACCCAGATTACCACTGACACTCTGTAGCTTCTTCAGTGGTCTTGTTTCTCAAATGAAAATATTTTTGCACTTCCCAGGAAAACTTTTCACTCTCTTTCAAAGTGATTCGAGATTCTGAAATGAAAGGACAGAGTGATTTGTAACAGCTGCTTCCCAATATGCTCCCCTGAAAAATGGAGATGGGCAAACAGGCACACAAAAGGCATGTGCATGGTGGGTGTTACAGACCCAGGTCTGTAACCTGGGAGGGGAGTGCTCTCCTCTCTGCATCTGATGTGCAACACACATCTGTGGTGATCTGCCCTCACTCATCACCATTTTCAGGAGGGAAAGGACAGCCCTGGGCAGCCTTCCTCGGCTTCCTTCCCATCCCTGGTGCTGCAGGTAGACAAGGTCCCTGCTGCCTCCTTCCCAGCTGCGTGCTCCAGAGATGACAGAAGCAAAGGGCCAGCTCCTCAGACGGGGAACCAGCAGCAGAAGGGGAAACGAAACCAAAAGGTTTCTGGAGAAAATATTTGAGTAAGGCTTCCACGAGGTGTCAGTAGCAGCTATTATTCATCACAGCAGAATAGAGTGCCTGGGGCTGCCATCCACCTCCTCACATGGCTTGTCCTCATCAAAGGAGAACAAATCCCGTCTAGTGACTGCCAGCAGCTCTGCACCGTGTCTCCCTGCAGGATGACCAGCCTCGGTCTCCAGTCTAACACAGCAGAGCAGAGGGTTCCCCACACAGAGCCAGGACCTCAAGGACCAAAACAATATACTTGCATAATATCCATGACCTAAAGAACTTACCAGTTAAAACAGGACAGTTGAAGCAGCATTACTGCACCTCTTCTACAGACAAAATGCTGGTGGCATAGAGAGATTAAACTGGAGATCAGTGATGTACCTGCAGTAAGAGGGCGACATAAAGTGTGTATATTCCAGCCCAGTGCCCCTTGCTCCAAACCCCCAACTCTCCTCATTCCCTACTCCTCTTTGAAGATGTTTAATTTTAGCTAAACAGGACATTAGGCATTTCTTTCTAACTTGTTGACGAAGACCCCAGAGGATTAAAGCAAAGTGGCAGCTCTGCTGCTCCAGCCCACCATGGGTCTGGAGCTGTTGTCCTAACTCTGCTGACCTTTGGTCCTGAGTCTGCCACCTTTGAGGGGAGACTGGTAAATATTCAGAGTCAAACTCATGCACAGAATCCTTGCAAGGACTGGAGTAAACCCCATATCCTTCAGCCCTGTTCAAGGATAAGGGATGTACTCTTCACATTTTCATCACATGCTCAAACCCAGCACTAAACATTAACCATGTTCAGTGTGCTCCCTGATACTGCCTCTTTTCATTTGGTTTTTAATTACACCCACAATCATGCCCGTTAAGTCAATATGATCCTGCCCTCAATTTGATGAAAGCCTCAGGAAGCAAATGACGTCTGCAACAAGAAATGGCAGAGCTTTTTCTGTCGTCCCATTACGTAGTTGGGGTTTCCGTAGCATTAAGAGGATTTTAGCTGGTCAATGGCTGGAGAAACCAAAGGATCAAGGTCCCAGATGAGGGTGAAGACAAAAATAGCTCTGAGAGGACACGTCACATTACTCGGAAGGGGTTGCACCAACAGAGTAATCTTCGTCATGTGCCAAGGAACCTGTGATAAGCCCTCTCATAGTCGGATCAGTAGTAAGATCAGTTACTTAATTCAAGGTGATTAAAACCAGGCTGGACTTCAAACAAACAAATCATGCCCATGGGGCTGCACAAAAAAAATATATATATCACAAAATTAAAACCTTTCTTGTTTCATCACTAGTGCTGGGCACTCTATAAACAATTTTGGGGGCAAATAAAATCCAGTGTAGCCCACAAAAAGGCTGCCTTTCCTACAAATGCATGTGAAAAACACATTTTGCAAACACGGGTCAGCCTATGGGTTACCCAGCTGTGAGGCTGCAAGGACTCAGCACACTCTGGCCAATTTTTAAGCCAGTGCTAGGCCCAAAGCACCCTGTGGTTGTAACTCTTTCCTCCACCTCTATAGGAGCGTTTGGCCTGTGAAAAAAAGTCCCGCTTCCAAACCAAAGACATTACTTTCCTACACAAAAGGCAATTTTGCTTTGCAACTGTGCTAATGCCCTGCCTTTGGGCTCCAATACCATTTGGCTTGCCCAGGCACGTGTGGAGGATGAGTAAAAACGCTGGGTAACTTGGCTGGTCACTACACCGGACATCCAAATCAGTGACAATGTCCTGGCAACGAGGAGCAAAGGATACGGGCTTCATGGTTGCACGTGGCCATCTCCCAGAGCGGGTGGCACACAGAGAGGTGATGGGTACTGCTGCCATCAGCGATGGGTGGCAAGGCACAGGCAGGTGGGGCTGCAACAGACACAAAGGGAGGGCTGTAGAATTATCTATTTTTAAACCATTTCTCTTGATCCCGGACTTTGGTACAAATTGTCCCATGCCTGCAGTGATAGGACGTGACTGATAGGTGAGTGCCCTGGTGACAGCAGGGAGTGGTGAAGCGGCTGCCTTTAATGAGTTTTCACCTGGAATCGGAAATGAGCGGTGAAAGAGGATTTTCCGTGCCGTGGCTGACATCCAAGATGCCAGGAGCCGTGGTGGATCCACGGGGATCCTCGGATGACGAATCGCGCTGACAAGCACTGGACGTAATTCTCTCCGGCAAAGCAGCTCAGCTCATGTTATCCTTCTTTTATTCCCTTCCTCAGATGTAGTCACCAAGAGTTTCTAAACACGACACTGGTGTACAGTATCCTGCCTGACTCACCCACCTGCCTGCATCCCCTCACGCGGACCCCTGGGGTTTGGTGTGAGCATCAGGTGGCGGGGAAGAAGTTACAAAGCAAACCAAGCACAGTTTAAGCATTGTTTCCCCAGCTGAATGGTGGTTCAGAAGAGGCACGACAAAGGGGACGGCTGTTCCTCACCAGCTTCGTGCTCACTGGGGTCAAGGGGAGGGCTGGGAGCTCTGATCTCCCTCCCTGCCATCCCGAGCAGCTTCACAGAGAGGGCTGCAGGGAAGTGGGGCATTTCAGCCCATGTCTGGTGACTCCTCACAGTGTGTGGGATCATAGGTTGTACTGGGACGTATGGAAAGTATCTCCCATTCCAGCAGCAAACAGCAGTAGCTCAGTGCTGGTGAGGGGAATGTTGGGAAACCCCAAAGATGGAGAAACCAGAGCTCTCAGCCACGAACCCATCCGTGACTGGCATTGCCCACCTGCAGAGTCTGATCTTTCTGACTGAGCAGACAATGGCTGCAAGCAGGGCAGATACTGGGGTCAAACACACAGTGAGAAGGAGGGAAATGCTCTGAACCCACTTGTGGAATAAGGGTGGAGCAGATCCCAGGATTTGCTATAAGTAAGGAGGCCTTATGAGAGAGCAGATCCCAGTAATGCCGGCACTTGCTTTCCCAATGTGTGGCTGTTCCCTGTACACACACATTCTAGGGCCAAGGGACTGCAGGAGCCCAAGAGGAGTCCCTGGCGCAGGGCTGTAGGCAGTGCTGAGCTCACCCCACACCATGGCCATCTCTTTACCCTTCTGTAGCCAAAACCTTCAAGGCAAATGTCTGGGAGACATATGAGAGGCACAAGTTTAGCAACAAGCACATGTGTGCACACGTGCGCCGGCTGAAGGGCAGTGCCAGTGCCAGGCTCCCGCCAGAGCCACCCACAGGGGTGGGCAGGACAACCCGGGGATTGGCACAGGCCAGGCTGGGCCCTGTCAGGATGGGGGGGTGTGTGTGACACCGCCTGCCCTGCACCCATGTGCCCAGGCACTGCACATCTGCAGCCTCCTACGCCCAGGAGCCCAGCTGTCCCACAGCCCCTGTGCACAGGTCTCACTGTGGCCCAGATGCCACGTGCCCTTGACCCATGTGTCCAGGCCCTGGTGTGCCCCAGGCACAGACTTAGGACCCTGTGACCCTGGGATCCTATGCTCTCTGCTCTCTTCATCCCTTATGCCCAGAACCCCATATTCCCAGCACCCTATACCCCCAGGACACCATGCATCATGTACCTGGACTCCAAACCTCTGGGACCTCAGGAGCCCAGGACCCCAAGATCCTGTGCTCTCTGCTCCCTGCACCCCTTATCCCCAGAAACCCATATTCCCAGAACACCATACCCCCCAGGACACCATGTATCTACACTCTGTCTCTGGGACGTCAAGAGCCCATGACCTCGGGATCCTGTGCTCTCTGCTCTCTGCATCCCTTATCTCCAGGACTCCATATCCCCAGGACACCATTCAACTGCACTCCATACCTGTGGGACCTCAGGAGCCCACGGCTCCCGTCCTGCTGAGACCCTACATCCCTGGCACCGCATGTCCCCAGACCCTCGCGACTCCATGCCCCCAGGACCCCCATGCTCCCGGGCCCCCATGTCCCCAGACCCCGGGACCCCCACGCCATCGTAACCCCACGCCCCCAGTCCCCTTCGTTCCCCCCCCCAGCCCAGCCCCGGCAGCGCCGCCCCCGCCCCGCGGCATTCCCGCCCCGCCCCCCCGGGACTCCGCGCCCTCAGTCAAGTTTCTTGGAACTTTGCCTGGCGTGACGCGCGCGCCGGCGCCGGGCCCCGTCCTCCCGGCGCAGCCAATGGGCGCGCGGGGCGCCGGGGCGGCGGCCAATCGGCGGCGGCCGGACAGTTCCCCGGTCCTGACCGACCTTCACCGCCCGCGCGGGGGGGGCCATAAAAGGGCCCCGCGGCGGCGCGCGCTGCTCCCGCCTCCCGCCCCTGCGCTGCGGCGGACACGGCACGGGCGGCACCGCGGGACCGGCGGGGAGGTGAGCGGGGGGACGGAGGGGCGAGGGGTCTCCGTGCGCTCGGGGGGAGGCCGTTTCTCCGTAGCGCACCGGCGTACGGGCGTCCTGCGCGCCGCGGGGAGGCCGTTTCCGCGTACCGGGTTCCCGTGCACCAGGATCGTGGGCGTCCTGTGCGCTGAGCGGAGGCCGTTCCCCTGTACCGGGTGCCCGTGCGCCGGGGACGTGGGCGTCCCGTGCACCGGGATACGGGTGTCTCCTGCACCGAGGTGCCGCGGCGGCTCGCTGTGCCCCGCGCCGGCTGGGGGGCGGGCCGGTCAGCCCCTGCCGCAGCCCCGGGAATCCTGTCAGCATCCCGGTACTGACCGCCCGTCCGCTCCCGCAGGTCCGGGCCGATGGTGGGAGGCAGTCCCCGGCGGAGCCCGGCCGCCCGCCATGCCCTGGAGCGTCCGGTGGGTCGGCGGCTGCGGCGCCCAGTCCCAGAAGCAGTGCAAGAAATCCTCCTTCGCCTTCTACCAGGCGGTGAGGGACCTGCTGCCCGTCTGGTTCCTGGAGGACATGCGGACCATGGAGGTCTTCCACTGGGAGGACGGGGGCAAGGTGAGCGTGTACTCGCCCTCGGAGGCGCTGCTGTACGCGCTGGTACACGACCACCAGCCCTACGCCCGGCACCTGCTGACTAAGTTCCCCCAGAGCGCCCTGGCCGTGCCCAGCCAAAGCTTCAGCTGCTGCCAGTCGGCCCCGCACCTGGCCATGGCCGTCCGCTACAACCGCGTCCGGATCCTCTTCCGAATCCTCAAGGCCATCCAAGCCTTCCCGCCGGGCGACAGAGCCGGGCACCTGGACCGCCGAGGCTGCAGCCGCGTGGAGGGCGGCAAGACAGCCCTGCACATGGCCTGCGAACTGGTGCGGCCCGAGTGCCTGCTCCTGCTGCTCGGGCACGGAGCATCGCCCTCCCTGCGGGACAGCGCCGGGAACACCCCCGTCGACACCCTGCTGCAGCAGATCTCCCACATGCCGGCGGCAAACATGCGTGCCAAGCTCCTCTGCCTCGACTGCCTCTTTCTCTTCGTGCCTCAGGACCTCCAGTTTGCGATGAAACAGCAACTGTTGGACAACCGGCAGCAGTGGCAGGACCTCCTGGGGGAGAACAAGTTCCAGTGCCTGGTGGGCTTAGCTCCCCCATCACTGTTTGTCGGAGCCATGCGTGTCTTGATCAGGACCATTTCACCTGAGCATTTCCCAGAGGCTCTGGACAATCTGCCTCTGCCTCATTTTCTAAAGCCTTTGGACTTGAAACTGGAGAGCTAGAGGGGCGGTATGAGAGCCTCCCGCTCACCTGACAGAAATAGACTTGTGCTAAAAGTGTATCAGTATACAAAGCTGCTAATGCAGTGGCCAAGTATCTGTTTTAATGAGAACTGTATTTTTAAAAGAATTATATCTGGCACTTTACAGTATATTTTATTTAAAGACCCTTGTAGTGAGGTGAGGGCCATGCTGCATTTTATAAAGATGTTCTATAGCATGTACAAATGAGGGTATGTGGAAGAACATATTTGTAAATACATCTGAATAAACCAGTGGCAGATGTGATCAAAATACAAATCAAGCAACTGAAAACCCTGGAGTGGCATGTGCCTTGGAAGAGCGTGTGCAGGGTGGGGGAGTATCTTTTTGTTAGGATTTCCCTGTTACATAAGCCTCGCCGTCCTGGAACAGGATGACTCCTTTTTTACAGCTCTCCTAATACATCTTGGCAGAGATGCGGGGTTTTTTTAAAGGCACAGATGAAAACTTCCTCATCTTGTACACAAGACCAAAGAGATGCCAGATACTGTTACAACTTCCCTAAACAAGCCTGCCAGAGATGTGCGTGTGAACAAAATATATTTTAAAATATGCATAAATAACAGTTGGCTTCCTTCTAAAGTTCTCTCTATTCCTCTTGGAGGACCAAGGTGCTTGTTGTCAGGCAGTGAAGACCTGGAGTACACACAGTGCTCTGGCCAAAATTGCTCCTGCCCTGGCAGGGCTGGACCCTGGAGCCCCTCTGTGTTTGCTGCAGGGTGAAGAGGGTAACACACAGCAGGAGGGCCAACCTGCTTGTGCCTGCTCTCTGCTATTCCCAGAGGGATTTAAGGAGGTATGGCAAGGGCCCAGGACTCTGGAGCATGGCTTTTTGGATGGATTGTGGATTCTGGTCCCTCCACTGCCACTCCCCAGCAGGCTTAGCTTCAGCTGTCAGCGCTGCAGCAGTCTTCATGTCTACTCTGGGTACCAGAGGAGTAGCTTAGATATCCAACCTTCCCCCAGCTATCCCTTCTAAGATGCTCCAAGGTACAAAAAAAACCCAAAAACCTCAGAGCTGCTCCAGATCAAAAAGCCCTTTAAGGGTAATGTCCTGCTTCCAATACTTCTGTTTTGACCAAGCAAAGGGTACAGCTTCAGTTCTTTGCTTTGCAACCTTTACAGCATTCCAGGCAGTCCCTGTAGAACTGGCACTGTCCCTGCGTGCTTTGTAGGGAGCTGTGCCTGCTCCACCGGCACTGCATTGATAGCAATCTCCTAGGCCACAGCGCTGGAGCTTTGGCTCTGTTCTTGGAAGTTGTCATTGAAACTGGAGGGTTTTGTTTCAGTGCTTAAATTCATAGCCAAGGAGTTGTTTGCTACTTGAACTATTTCAGCACTGCTGTTCCCTCTGGGGTCATCAAGGAACTGATGCGCTCAGAGAGAAGAGGCCGTGTTCAAGGCACACATGTCTTTATTTGTGAATTAATTTTGGTTAAGGCAAAAAAAAAAAAAAAGAAAACCACAGAATGAGGCACTATAAGCTGTTCATCCTTCAGCAGAACATAGTGGTATTTAATCTAAAATAATCTCCATACTGCAGCACAATAAAAGATAAGCCATACTTCTGAAATTTGAGAAGAAACAGAAAGAAGATTGCTATTCTTAGAGTAAGGGCACTGAAAATGTTTCCTAGAAGAGCAAATGTTCCTTTTTTTCCCAAGAAACCAAGCTGATACATGCTTAAACTAATTATCATGGGAAATTCAGGTCCCTTGCTGGAAAGCATGGAACAATTCTAACTGTTCTCTTCAGCTATCTTGTGGATTATAAAAAGACAGAAATCTAAAGAATTAATCCCTCAGCCACTTACAGACAAGTAGTAAAGCAGTCAGGTCTAACTTGCACATGGCAAAGTGTTGTGAGGTGGGGGAAGAGACAGAGCTGGGGGTGGGAGGAAATGTTTATCAGCTTTGCTGACAGAGACATAATGCAATTCAGCAGTGGGGAGTTGGTTAGTTGAACTGAGTGCTGGAAGATGCTCCTGCTCCCAAGCTGTGAGGGTAATTACACATTGGAACAGCATGACAGGCTGGGCGGGACATCCTGCACCTTAAAATGAGCCCTTAACAACACATGAATTCGAGGTAAAGGCTGCCCTGTGATTCCCTATGGCCCTCCCACCGGCCCTGGGGGAATTCATTTCAACAAACAAAACAGATCCCCTCCACATGTTTGTGATGGGTCCAAAGCCAGCTAACTGCTGTGCCCTTCCTGTTATTCTGGGACAGAAGTCAGACTTAGTGCTGAGCCCACACCGGGGTTCGCTCTGCTGGAGATCACAGACGGAGCTCACTGCGTGTGGCTCGCTGATTGTCTGCGATGCTTCATCTGGAGGGGCTGAGAGGAACTGTGGGCAAACTGCACTGGTGACTACACGGATCACTCACCCAACTGGGTCCAGGCTTGT